ACATTGGGGGTAGGATTTCACTGCCAGATAGGATGAGAAAAGATCTGACAAAGCAAGACCACAAAGATGGGAAGGAGTGTGCCAGAGAGATGTCACAGTAGGAATAAGAGTTGCAAATGCAAGAGACATTGGTCAATTCTTGGCACAACCTGGTCACATAATCACCCCAGGAACAAATTCCAAGCACTGAACTGAAATCAATCGCTGGGACTACCAGGTGTGCTCTCCGAAGTATTATAACAAAACAAAACAAAAAAATCAGGCTGTAAATGTAGAATAAAGTACAAGGGATAAGGTACTTGCATGTGGACAACCCTGTTTCGATCCCCGAAACCAGATCTGTTCCCAGGCTCTGCCATGAATGATCCAGAGAAGTAGCAGGTGTGGTCCAACCACCATCACCACCCTCATACCCCTGGGAAAAAATTCAGGGAAAGGAGTCATAGTGCAGGAGTTAAAGTGCTTGCCTTGCCTGCTGCCAACTCAAGTTCAATGGTGGGTGCTGAGCACTACGGAGTATGGCCCAAAAACACACAGAGAAGGATATTTGAAAGTTAGATCAAAGGTAATAACCAGGGTAACAGAAAATATCAGTGGGCAAACACATTTATTTGTGCTGCTATGACCAATTAAGGTGATGCGTAATTCAGTCCTGTGTGCTAATGAATTAAAAGGCAGGTTTTAAATGTAAGGAAAGAGAAACTAGAGAGAAAATGAGAAAAAAGGGGGATGAGCTGACGTGCCAAACAGAAGATCATTATCAAGCATGGTGTAGATTTCAAAGCTAAATAGTGCCAAGAAATCATTCTTTATTAACATCAGCTCTAGTGCTTTAAAAGTACCAGCTTGAGGGGCCGGAGTGATAGTACAGCTGGTAGGAAGTTTGCCTTGCAGGCAGTCAACCTGGGTTTAATCCCCGGCATCCCATAGGGTCCCTGGAGCAATGCCAGAAGTTATTCCTGAGTGCAGAGTCAGGAATAACCGCTGAGCATAGTTGTGCATGATTCTAAAAGCAAATAAAATTGAAATAAAAGTAACCAGCTGAATTCATATAATTATGTAACTGTACAAAAATATACAATTGTTTCTACTTCATATTTGCTGAAAAAATATTTTGTATGAAAAATTCCTGAGAATCTAATACAACAGTTACAAATACATTATTTAGCAGCTAAACAGGTTCATCTGGAAAAGAATGCAACCTTAATAGATTTTTGTTTTGTTTTTTTTTTGGGTCATGCACAGCAGTGTTCAAGGCTTACTCCTGGATCTGCACTCTGGGCACCATGTGTAGTGCCTGGGATGACCCCAGGTTGGCCGTGTTCGAGGCAAACGCCCTACCTGTGGTACTTATCTTTGTTGGCCCCCAAATAGATTAGTAGCAACCACAATGAAAACCTAGCAGTGTTTGAAAAGCTAATATTAGAGAAATAGGATAAGCAGATCCCACCTTCTTTTTTCTGTTTTTGGGCCACAAACAGTGATGTTCAGGAATAAACTCCTGGCAGTGCTCAGTAGATGAGATGCAGAGGATTAAACCTGAGTCACCTGTGAGCAAGAGAAGCGTCCTACCCATTGTACTATTGCTCAAACCTCAAAGCTAAGTAAATTCTTATCAAATTAGGCGAGCCCAGATTTCCTGAAATACAGGCAATTTATCACATTTCTATTCATAAAATAAAATCACATTACATGCAGATCTGGTTCAACCTTAATGCTATATGCAATGTCAACACCCAATGATGTTACATTTCAGTGCAAAGCTACATTAAATGTTCTTTTGTGGCAAAACAGAACATACCAATTCTGCAAAAAGAATTTTCTAAATACAATCAAACATGACACATTCTAACAATGCTTTTAATCAACCCAGACTTGACATCTGTCAAACTAAAATGTTGAGAACAGCTATTAGCTTAAAAATAATAAGTACCTCATGGTGTTTCACTAATAAAAATAAATAATAAGTACTACCATTTTCTAACCTTGTTGTAAATCTTTAGTACTTATAAAGCTTTTAGCAAATTTAACAATATGGTGTTTACTTAGAGACCGAGATAAAAAAAAAATGGCCAGTGCATTCTGATGCCAGTTGCAATTTAGTCACTGATGAAATGGTTATCCGGGGCCAGAGAGATGCCTCAAATGACTGAAGGGCATGATTTGTATAAGGACTCAGGTTCAACTCCAGGTACCACATAATCCCCAGAGCACTGGCAAGCACTGACCCAAGCAGAAGAAACTAGTCAGAAATGTTAATGAAAGAATTTGTGTCTTGGGGCTGGAGCAATAGAGGGTAGGGCATTTGCCTTGCATGTGGCTGACCCGGGTTCGATTCCCAGCATCTCATATGGTTCCCTAAGCACCGCCAATGGTAATTCCTGAGTGCAGAGCCAGGACAGTAACCCCTGTGCATCACCGGGTGTGACCCAAAAAGCAAAGAAAAAAAAAAGAATTTGTGTCTCATACTACATGTATGTAGAAACTGTACATAAAGAAACGACCAAGAAAAAATAAAAAATACTAGAATATCAACAAGTATTTGTATAATTTCCCAGTGAATGCAAAATATAAAAAAAATTAGATTAGATACATATTTTCATAAAGGAACCAGAGAAAGAGAAGAGGAGGTAATGCACTTGCCTTTATGCAGCTACCAACACACCCCTGGTTTGAATCCCTGGCACCACCTAAGTTCTTCTGAGCACTGCCAGGGGTTACCCCTAGAACGGAAGAACAGCTATAATCCCTCAACACCACTGGGTGGATCCCCTATCCAAAAAGAAGCAATAAAACCCAGCTGCCTTTTCTTCTTTTTAATTCATGAATAAAAAGATATAAAAGTAGAGGGGTAGAAGAGATGGCGCTTGCCTTGCATGTGACTGACATGGGTTTAATCCTTGTGATCCCTGCATACGGTCTCCCAAGCCCACCAGGAGAAAGTTCTGAGTATAGACAGATATGCCTCCCAAAATTAAAATGTTGGGGGGTTTCAGAGATAATAAATACAGTGATAGGGCACTTACATTGCACGTGGCTGGTCTGTGTTTGATCCCCAGCATCCTATATGGTGCTCCAAGCACCACTAGGAATAATTTGTGTGTGCAGGGTCAATTGTGGCCCAAAAACAGGCTCCCCCTCCCCCCCAAAAAAACAAAGGTTGGTCCACACAGAGCACTCACTAAAGAAAATAAAGTGCAACGGGGAGATTTAGCAACAGCAGAGCTCTTGCCTTACATGTGTGACGACCTGGCTTTATTCCCTGACACTAAGGGAAAAAGGGGGTTGGGGAGAATAGAGAATCAAAAAGCAAATGTATAAACCATGAGGAATTTAACAATTTAAAAAATACATTGCACATTCATGATAGGTATGTGTACTAAACTGAACATCTAATCTTTCCCATCAAACTTAAAAAAACAAAAAGATCATTAATAAAAATTATGGCTGGAGCGATAGTACATTAGGTAGGGTCTAGCACTTGGCTGACCCATGTTCAACCCGACACCCCATAACGTCCCCCAAGTAATGCCAGGAGTAATTTCTTAGTGCAATTAGGAGTAACCCGAGCCAGGTGTGATGCAAAAAGCCCCCCTTGCACCCTCCCCCAAAAGTATGGTCAAAGCAACAGTACAGTAGGTAGGGGATTTGCTTGGCAAGTGGCTAACCTGGGTTCAATTCCCTGGCACCCCATACGGTCCTCTCAGCTCTATAAGGAGTGATTCTTGAGCTCAGAACCAGGAGTAAGCCCCGAGCACCACTGGTATGGCTCATAGACCAAAGTATAAAAATTACAAATTTGTGGTAGTAAAAAGGAAACTATTGTGCACGTCAGTATCTACATACTTTTATTTATATTTTGCTTTTGAGTCACACCTGGCAATGCTCAGGGGTTACTTCTGGCTCTGCACTCAGGGATTACTCCTAGCAGTGCTTGGAGGACCATATGGGATACCAGGGATTGAACCTAGATTGGCCATGTACAAACAAGTGCCCTATCTGCTACACTATCACTTTCAGCCTCTTTATATACATTTTTTTTCTTTTTTGGGTCACACCCAGCAATACTCAGGGTTACTCTTGGTTCTGCACTCAGGAATTACTCCTGGCAGTGCTAGAGGACCACCTGGAATGCTGGGAATCGAACCCTGGTCAACCACGTGCAAAGCAAACACCCTACCTGCTGTGCTATTAGTCTAGCCCCCTTTATACACATTTCTGAACTACTAGAAGGCAATTTTTAATTTCTAGTCTTGAAGCTTACATTTTGGTTATCTTTAAGTTTCATTCCTAGAAAGTTTAGCTAGAGGAAAAACCAAGTTTTGTGGAGCTAGAGAGATAGGATATTGGGTATTGACAGTTGCCTCAAACATGAGTTAGGTTACTGCACCACCAAGAGCGATTCCCAATCACAGTGTCAGGAACACACCCTAGCAACGCAAAACCAAAATCAACTTGTGTGTGTGCAAAAACAAAGTATGCAAAGTTTTCTGCAACAACTTGAATGCTCTTCAAGAGAAAACACTCAAGATCTGAAGCTGTCTGAAGTACATCTAAGTATATCAGGCTGGAAGATGATTCAAGGGCTGAATTCCTCGACCCCAAATAACTGAGCCAGAGTAGCCTCTGTGCACTGCTGGGTTCTGTCTAGAAAGAAATACAGATCACCTTTTTGTGTAATACCCAACCCAGATCATCTGTTTTCAGGCTACACACACACACACACACACACACACACACACGGCAGACATAAACCACATATGGGCAGAAGACGATGAATAGATCAGCAGTCGGCATTAATGAAAACTTGCCACCAGTAATAGCTTCCTCAACAACAGAGTATACCCTTCTCAGAAGGTCAAAGATGAAGAGCCTGATTTAGTATATTCACAGTGAACCCCCACAATCTACCCCCATTACCACCCACTCACCTTCTAAGTCACCATTTGCTAACCAGTTGACCCATTCCTTGCCAGGACTCTCATGTGCATAGATCTCACCTGAAAAGGAGCCGTGAATTCCTCTCTCCATGGAACAGAGCTCTTCTGCCTCTTCTAACTGAGATACGACATCTGGTTTGGACAACTGATGTTCTGTCCAAGGAAAAGAAACAGAGCTAGGGGCTGTTTGGTAGAAAATACTTTTCTGCTGTGATACATGCTTGTGCCCCCATTCTCTGCTGCCAGGACATGCTTTCTGGTCTAAGGCGAAGAATAATCTTACCCATCTCCTTTGTCATATTTTTTCCTTCTGTAAACTCTTAAGCTAGCAAAGGTGGCAAGGGAACACTTGCCAATGAGATGAAAACGAAGTTGGAGGATTTGGCTTTTGGTAATACATAGCAGCTGTGATCAGAACAGGTCTATGCCTCCCTGATTTGTCTTAATAGAAACATGCTGCTGGAGTCGCTGCCATGGACAGCTAGAGGTTTGGTTTTTACTAACTGGAGGAGGCATCAGAGTCATTGAGGATATTTCTATAACACTGGATACTGACACTTTCATCCTCTTGGAACTCATTACAAAACAAGCATCCACTGCCTCCACTAAAAACATCCCTGAAAGTCACCTCCCCAGAATTTAAGGCTTCTGAAAATGGCCTTATTTAAAGCTTAGCAGTCAAACCTGAAGCTGCACTTTTCCTCCATCTATGAAGTAAAAACTCAGGTTCCACCTGATCTTTGGCAGCCTAAGCCCACGCAGACATACACTTCAGCAGTAGCACATGGATGCAGCAAAGCAAACTTTAAAGCAAAGTCTTTATTGCCATGGAATCTTACCCACTGTTACCAGGTTCCTGTAGTTCTCCAACATCACTGCCCTGTACAGGGACTTCTGTTCAAGGTCAAGCAGACCCCACTCCTCCAGTGTAAAGCCCAGGGTCACATCGTCAAAGGTCACTGGCTCCTAAAATCCACATATTACCGGTCAGCTCGAGCTGTCATCATTGTCGTTGGCAGCAGGGGGCCGTAGGGGGCCATGTGACTCAGCATTCGAAGGTACTTTTTTCTATAGGAAGAACTGAGATTCCACTACTCTCATCACAGGTGCACTCCTTGGAAACTGAAGGAGCCTGGATTTGACCCTATTTTGATCCCGGCTAGGAAGACAATTCATGAGGCTGGAGACTTCTTGATTATTTGAGTAAAAAAAATAATACTTTTTCATTAGCCGCGTGTGTGTGTGTTGGGAGGGGGGGGTTGTGTGATAATGGCCACCAGAATGCACTCCCTGACGACGGTTCCTCAAGCTATGAGAGGACCCGCAAGCCCCACCAGCTTCGGCTTCTATACCCCGTTAAGGTTCCAAGTCTCTCCTCTCCCAGTTCTCGACTTCGTGGCACTCTAGTTCGTGGCCCGTCTCCAGCCCACCACGGTGGAGTCCCCTCCCTTCCCGAGACGCAGTCCTGGAAGGGGCTACCCGCCACCTCCAGGGAGCGGAGGGGTGCATCTACTCACACGGAACCACGCCGTCGGAAGCCCGGAAGCCATGACTTCCTCTTGTTAGTCGGGTCTCGGGCAGTCCTGAGAAGGTCGAATTGAGGGTGAGGGAAGAGCATCGGACTTACTTCCACCTCGGGCAAAGACCAAAGGGATACGTGGGGGAGCGCCGCCCAGTCCCACCCGAGGACGGTCGTTCTCCTCTTTCAAGTCTCCACGCGCTCCGGAAGGGACGGCCCGCCGCTAGCCCCGACCACGCCGCGGGACTGCTCCGCGGCAGGAACACTGCAGGGAAGAGAAGACTCCGGGAACCCAGGTTACCTGGGGAGCGGCTTCGGGCTGCCTGCTCCACACAGCCCAGATGGGGACAGCTTGGGCTCGGAACCCACCTGCGCGCAGCGCACAATGGCGTCCGTGTGCCCGCGTAAGTGCGTAACCCGTCGACCCGGACTACAACTCCCAGACAAACCCGCGGCACACCGCCCGTTCTCACGCTGCGGCAGCCATCTTGGCAGCCCGCGAGCGGCAGCTGGGGACGCCCAGACGGCAAGTAGACCTGCGGCCTTCCGGTCGGGCTGAGGACTCTTGGGATGGAGCACGCCGGGTTACCGGCACCGGTCCTCGCGTGGATAGCGACACAGGCCCCGCTTCGAAGGCGACCGAGCGAGGGGCACACCGGAAATCAGACGGAGACGCGGGCCGAAACGTGGGCGGCACTAATCGCCTCAGGTGGCGGAAGCGGAAGCTGGCCACGCCACCTGCTGCTGCCACTCACTGTAGGGGAACTGGGAAATGTAGATGAGCCGAGGCCAATGTTGAAAACTCCGGGCGCGGGGGCGTGCGCGCGTACATGTGGGCTGGGCAGACGCACCACGTTCACTGGGCGGGGCGGGGGCGGGGCTTGATCCGAGGCCTTTGCCCTCTTGGCTTCTAAAAGGAGTTTTAGGTAACCGGAAATGTGCGCGAGAGGGTTCTAACGTTCGCCGTTGGTTGAAGGGAAAAGGGAGTGCAGTGACTTTGGACCGAAGTGAGCACCGGCGGGAAAAGTATGCCTCAGACCTGGGAGGGATGAAGTTCTTGGCTTAAATCTACCCCTTTCGTGGGGAGAAGGGGTTCATCAGTTGTATCCTGAGCGACAGGGGCTAAGCAGGGAAAAAATAGGTTTTGTTCAATGAAACTTACAAAAGGGAAAGAAACTGTGGATTGGAACTGGATTCAGCTATTCTGGATAGGTAGACTATTATAGACTATTATGGACTACTCTCAACTGCAACTACTCTCAATTTGCTTTCTGGATAAACTTAAACAAGATTCTTTTTAACGTTATTCTGCAAGACAGCATCTAAAGTGTTTTTTGGGGGAGAGCCTAACAGAAGTGGGGGCCAAGATGACTCCATGGTCGGGTGAGCAGTGAGTGGCTGAGATCCTGTGCTGGTCTTGTGCCCTGTTCTGAGAGTGCCCAGGTCGAGTAAGAAGTCTTAAGGTGCCAGGACTGGGGTGCGTGCATCCTTGGATCTGGCATGCTGGAGTCTTCCATAGAGCCCAGGACAAGGTCTTCTTTTCCTTATAGTCTATATCAGGTGGTCTTGTGTTCTGGGGTCCCAGGATCACATGAGATCTGTGTTGCCTACTTAGTGCCTGGGGATTCACCTCTTCTGAGCCTCAGTCTTTTCTAGCACTTCAACGCAGCCCTTTGCCTCACTTCAGAACACCCCTTCTACTGCCTGCTAAATGTGTAGCAAGCTATTTATTTCAAGACACTGTGGAATGTTACCACCAGATGGCACGTTTTTCATCTCAGTTATTGCAGCTAGCCAGTTAGGTAGTCTGCTGATTTTTACCTGTTAGTATTTACGCAGTTAATGCAGGTGTCTTAGTTTTTGTTAGAATAATGCTATTTTGTTTCCTTTTGTTTTTGGTTATTGTAGATAAAATACTATACGTATTTCATGAGTAATTTGGTCCCTTCTCATTATTTTTATTTCAAAATGGTTTTACAGGCTCAGAGAATTAACTCAGTGGAGAGGATATCATGCTTTACATGTGGGAAATCTGGGTTCAATTCTTGATACTCTATTGTCCCCTGAGCACTTCTAAGTGTGGCCCAACCCATAATATTTTATTTACTTTTGGACTTGCTGTCCAGGATCACTTCTGGTGGGCTTAGGGACCATATGTGATGGCAGGGCTGGAACTCCAGTCCAACAAATACAAGGTAAACACCCTATTCACTGTACTCTCTCCAGCAATTTTTTGATATACCCTTAGACAGTAAGACAGCCATGTTAGTCCTGTGCTAATAGCTGTTTTGATTTGCTGTTGCTATGGGCCTTTCTAGTTTTTCTCTGTCATATGTGTAGTCATGGGATTCAAACAAACACCAGGAATATACGTCATAACTTAAGCATATGCAACTCTTGTCGATTTTGTTAGTTTTGATAAAATAGGGTTTGGGAGGGAGATACAAAGTGCTCAGGGGACCCGAGCCACTCTCGCCTTTACTTGGCTAATCTAAACAGAGGTTCAGTGCTACAGTCCATGGATGCACCAGTGCTGCCAGGCCTGGTCCAGTCCAGAGGTCCATGTGATTCTGGGACCAAACTCTGCTAGGCAGCACTGTTACTATCTTCCTGTCTCCTGGCCCCTGAACTTGAGTCCTTTAACATCTTTAGGAAGTAAGCATCCATGACAGACTTTCCTTTCTTTATTTTATTCTTTTGTTCTTTCTTAATATGATACTAGAGAAATACCTGATTATAGACTAAAGGGTGATTATTATTAGTTCGTGTTTTGGACCACACCTGCCAGTGTTCATTCCTGGCTCTGGGTACCTACCATATGAGGTTCCAGGGATGGAACTCAGGTTGGCCACTTGCTAAGCAAATACCTTATGGGCTCTAATATTGCACCAGCACCTAAAGGGTGATTTTGTTTATCTTGGTCTCAGTAGGCAGTAGTCAGGGCTTAATATTGGCTCTCTGCTCAGAAATCACTCCTGACAGGCTTGGAAACCATATGGGGTGCTAGGCATCAAACCCAAGTTGGCTCCAGGCAAGGCAAGCGCCCTACCTACTGTATTATCACTCCAGCCCCTAAAATAATAGTTTTTAATGAATTTTTCTTGTTTAGAAAATTAAGTATGCCATTTAATTTACTGTAATTGGATTACATATTAAAAATGCATGATTTCTGGGGTCCAGAGCAAAATGATAAATATGCATTAGAAAATAGTTTGGAATTTAGAATTGCAGGAAAGGTATTGTGAATCCCTCCTGCTTATCTTCTTCCTTCTCCTTTTGCCACACACTTCCCCTTTATGAGTCACACCCAGTGGTGCTCAGGATTTACTCCCACTTCTACACTCAGGGATCACTCCTGGCAGTGCTCAGTGGACCATGTAGGATGCTGGGGATTGAACCTAGGTTGGTCATGTGCAAGGCAAGTGCCCTACCCACTGTACTATATACTCCAGCTTCAGTTTCTGATGTTTTCAGCTACCCTGTTGGAAATCTTTTACAGAAGCCAGAGAAAATAACATAGGGTATTAACTATGCTGTATTGTGAATCTTAAATGCAGATGGCTGAACTAGCAGTAGTAGTTGACTCACTCAATTGCAAATTTTGATTTGCACTTTTCTCCTTTTAAGACACTCCACAGACATGTTTATTGAGATACTGTGTTTTTATATGACAGCTTTACATTTGCTTTCTTGACTTAACATTCCACCATATGACTGAAAACAAGGCATACATAATTTATGTAATAGCTAAATGACAATAGTAGCTGGTATCACTTGGTATAATCACTGGTGGCTTTCAGCTGAGGAATAAACTATCCTTGCAACTGAGTCCTGGATCTGCAAATTGACCCCAATTATCATTTTTCATTGTTTCACCAAACAAAGTATCACAAATTGTTAGATGTGAAAGTGAACATGTAAATAAAAGACACCTTAAAAAGAATAAAAGGGCTGAGAGGAATCCCATGGGTTAAGGTGCTTATTTTGCATGTGGCCTACCGCAATTCAGTTCCTGCACTTCATGTGGTCCCCGAACATTACCAGGAGTGATTCCTGAGCACTGAACCAGGAATAAGCCCTGAACACAGCCAGGTGGAGCCCCTAAACCAAAATTAATTAAATAAAGATATCTTTTGTCTTTAAGACAACTCAAATTATGGCCATAGCAGCAGTATAGCAGGTAGGGTACTTGCCTTGCACGTGGCTGACAGGGTTTGATCCCTGGCATCCCAAGTGGTCTCCTGAGTGCCACAAGGAGTAATTCCTGAGTTTAGAGCTAGCAGTAACTCCTGAGCATTACTAGATTTAACCTGAACGCAAAAAAAGATCCTGGAAATAATTATAAAAAACTTGCATAAATTAAAATGCTGATCAAGGGGCTGGAGCTGTAGTACAGTGGGTAGAGTGTTTGCCTTGCATGTGACTAACCCGGGGTTGGATCCCTCCAGCATCCCATATGGTCCCCCGAGCACTGCCAGTGTTAATTCCTGAGTGAAGAGTCAGGAGTAAGTCCTGTGCTTTGCCTGGTGTGACCAAAAAGAAAAAAAAGCTGATCATGTTTCATAAGGGGAAAGGAGAACCCCAAATTCATCAGTAGTCTCAATCTAAGAGCCAACAGGATTATAACGGGTCCTTGGAGAGACCTGGTCATTGTACTTTTCTCTGTGCTTCCTTATTCCTCAAAATGTAAGGGGATTACTTTTCCTTACAATCCAGTCATTTCAGTATAAATCTCTTGATTTATCTAAAGTGATTGCATTTGAATTACACAGGAGAAAGACACTGGGCCTTTTTTTTTTGCCCTCTGAGAATACACATGCATTGATTCTAAATGATAAACGATCTTTGTACAAGAAGTGAAATGTGGTGGTTCTTTAATTTTTAGATGTAAACAGAAGATACACTGTTGTTACTGGTAATCTTACATCTGATAAAATATAGCAGCCATTTATATGAAACATTACTCACTAGGCCAGGACCGTATTTTGTATTATCTGGTATTTTTGTGGCAAATCAAGACTGATGCACTATAGAGCATAAGTGCTTGTACTATGCTCACCTATAACATCAGCTAGCCACAAGTGCATTTGCATACTAAATTTAGTCACCTGTTTATAAGTCAACAATATCTTGTAGGTTTTGCCATCTTTGTAGCTTATTTCTGATGTCAAAATTCCAACCAACACCTTTTCCATATTGGTTATGTTCAATGAATTTCTCTGATCTGTATGAATTCGCTGTAGTCAAAGTAAAAACTTGTCTAACATTAACCCCTTCTGTATGATCATCCAGCAGGAGTCCTCCTCTGTCGAATAAAATGAGAACACTGCGGGAAGGCTCTTAATTCAGTGGTCACATATCGAGGGTTTTCCCCCAGTATGAGTTCTCTGATAGGATGTCACAAACATGTTCTTTTTCACAGTTTTTCCCAGGATATCTACTGCCATGTCTTTCGCTCCAGTGTGTATTCTATGCATA